AAAGCTCTTGGCTTTTGCTTCCGATAGATAACTTGCCTATTACGTTCCCTCTGCACCATACCACTGCCTGCTGCTGTGTGTTTGATGCTGGTCAGCCTTCCTAGGCTGTTCAGCCTGTTTTTGGCAGAGTGCAGGATCATGTGAATTTGACCAAAACTTTGCCGATATCCTGGACAATATTAGAGCCTTGGTGTTTTGGACATTCTTCATTGATCTGGGCTGTTCAGACTCAGGCAAGTAAAAACAAATCCAGATTATGACATGAGTTGTTGGTAGACAACCTTGTGCTGTTGAGTACAGTTACTTGCCCTACCATAACTGGTTCCTACAGATGAAAGATCACAGTATCCACAGAAAATTAATACCTCTCCTGCTATGATGGAGTTCTTGAAAGGTGGCCTCTGGTTTTGGTGAAGAATTGTGAGGGAGGTTGAGATTGCTATAAGGTATGAGGAAAGCATACACACAGATCACTGTCCTAGTAGGTACTGCTGTACAAAAAGCTCAAACGAGCAAACCAAGACTTTCATGCTTTCACAGACATGCTTGCTAGAATTGGAATATGAGTGGATAGCATAATTTCCCTAACACCTCTCAAGGAGATACCTGTTTCTCTTTGCAAGAGAAGGAGGGTGTTTTGCTGTACTTGACAAGAATCCAGGTCTGTTTTGGAAGAAATACGTATCTTCCCTGCAGTAGAAGCTGGTTCTGTATTTGAATGGCAAAGTAGAGATGATAGAGGCACAGTATTCTTACATGTGGACTTTTCCAGCTAGGACTGAGACTTACTGGCTTTTATGAAGCCTTAATCTGTGCCCAGTTGTGACTTCATGTCTGCTTTGCTAATTGTTGTAATGAGATTTTTACTTTCTGTCAACTTGAAGTGTTGAGTCAAATTTGTCTGCCAGAAGCTTTGTGTGAAGGCAGGTTAGGTCTGCCTCCAGTGGGACTGGGATACTTAGGCTGTCCATGAGTTTGAAGACATTCCCTGTTGAAAATGTAGGTAAGATGACTGGGGAGTTGCATGAAGGAGGAACAGCTGAAATACTGAGCCCTGTGCTGCAGAGGGGCTGTCAGGTAGCACTCCTATTTTCCTCTGCCAGTTTGCAAGAGACTTCTCTTGGATTAAAGATCAGAAACATTGCCTTGTCTTATTTTCTCAGGGTTGTCTTAATCTTGTCTCCAGAGACTAATCACCTGACCAAGTTAGTCTTTCTTTTCCTTTCAGTTCTCTACTCCTACGTGACCTGGAAGAATACATCTAATTCAAACTAGTTGTCTTACAATAATTACCTGGAATGAAAATGTCCAAGTAACAGTACACTTCTGGTTTTATGTTTTAGCATTCCCACTGTTGGCATAAACTAGATGCTGTTGAACTTGCCGGATCAGACTTTGAAAATACTAACAACTAATTCCATAAAAGATAACAAAAAGCCCTATCTGATTTTCTAGACAAAGCTGGATCACATTGGGTGGTTCATAGATTGTTGCATCAGGTGGTTCTTAGATTGGTACATACTCGCATACAGAATTAAACTGAGGATATTTTCCATGAGGCCCTGAATGTACAGTAAAGCCTTTAAATTACATTTTTGCCCACTTTATCAAGCCTGCATTTCTGAAGATTAAAGATGCCTTCTGCCAGAGCATTCCCTGGCTACCTAGTCTGAAACAGCTCAAGCTCTGAAATGGAGCAGTTCCTCAGACCAGAGTGAGGGAAAGGTGTTGTAAAGTCTGTCTAAAATGCTGTATTTAAAAACAAAATACCCATGGCTATTTCCATGGCTTTCAGTATGTAATGTGAAAAATGGAGGTGAGTTTGAGTTAGGTTCTTGGCTTTTAACAACTTGTTGAGCAGCTACAGTCATGTGTAGTGTGTTGGTAGGGGTTTAGATGTCTTGTGTATGTTGCTTAATACTAAAATTCTGGAAATAAAAACTGTGTGCCAAGTTTATTAAAAGAGAAAAAAGTAAATGCTTGATGGTACAGTCACAGAATCACAGGATGGTTGAGGTTGCAAGGGACCTCTGGAGGTCTTGTCCAACCCCCCTGCTCAAGCAGGGCCACCTAGAGCCGGTTGCCCAGGACCATGTCCAGACAGCTTTTGAATGTCTCCAAAGATGGAGACTCCCCAGCCTCCCTGGGCAGCCTGTGCCAGGGCTCGGTCACCCTCATGGTGAAAAAGTGTTTCCTGATGTTCAGAGGGAACCTCCTGTGTTTCAGTTTGTGTCCATCGCCTCTGGTCCTGCCACTGGGCACCACTGAAAAGAGCCCGGGTCTGTTCTTTTTGCACCCTCCCTTCAGGTATTTGTATACATTGGTAAGATCCCCCCTGAGCTTTCTCTTTTCTAGGCTAAATACCCTCACATACCATCATTTTGTTCTAGAATTTTGTAACTAATAAACTAGTATCTTTTTAACCCCTTAGAGCTTCACAGCCTCATTGCATGTTAATGCTGGTTCGCTGTATGACAAAAAGGTGTTGAAAAGATTCAGTTAACTGATGCTATCGAACCTTTTCCATTGGGAACAGTGATCCTTCAGATTTGCCTGCTCTTTATCTTGTTTGGTTTTATGCCCTTTTCTGTAATATTTTGTGAAACTGGGAGCAGTTTGGGAAGGACTTTTCAAGGAAACAATTTTTTCTTTGAGGGGAGAAAAGAGACATGTTCCTTCCAGGTGCATTCTGTGTATTTGCAGAATACTACTGCAGAATATTTTTAAGATACTAGTGTTACAAGGTTATGTTAGAAAGAATTTGGTCTCTATCCAAGGTGTGAATAACTATATGAAAGCTTTTTAATGATAACTATCTAATCTTTGTTTTTTCTTCTAAAACTGATTAACGTCACATTCTGTTAGGGGTACTTCTGTGCAGCTCAGATGCATAGATAAAACAGTCTATTCCCTACAGTGTCATTTCTTACTAGAAGCAGAACAATCACACAACAGTCTGAACCATTTTGAGGGACAAGACAAACCGGGTTCTCTATATGTAGGAAAACATGAGTATGAATTTCTGCGCGAGTCTCTTGTTTGAGTTCATACTAGCTGCTTGCTGGAATTGCACAGAGAATTTAGTCCTGTGGTGCATGGTACAATGAAGGTGTAAACTCCATGTAATAGATGTATTAAAAAAAATTATGTCAGTTTTCAGGCTCTGATGTATGAAATGGGCGAAGGCCTGGTAAAAAAACAAACAAACCAAGAGTTGTCACTTTATGCCTTCACCTGAAGGTAGTGAAATGTAAGCAGTATTCCTCTGATGCATTGCTAATTGGTTTGGTTGAGCCCTAAGTGTGCTGTCTTTTTTTTCTCCCCAGCTGAGTATTGAACAGGCCCAGGCTGTGGCAGAGCAGGTTGAGATGAAAGCGAAGGTGGTACAATCTGAAGTCAAAGCAGTGACTACTAGACATAAGAAGGCCTTGGAAGAGCGGGAGTGTGAGCTGCTCTGGAAGGTATGCACCTTACATTTGTGGTTTGAACTGCTGACAAGTGCCTTTTCAAACTGAAAACATGCTTTTTAATGAGTACGTGGCCAGATTCTGATATCCTTCCAACGAACACTGAATTGAAACACTACAGTTTACTGTGAACTCACTTTTCTGTAGGTAGCAGGATGCTGGATTCCGGCCCTGGTTGGTTTTGTGCTGAATTCTCTTAATCTGAGAAACTGGTTGGGTTTTTGTAGGGACTACGGTATCCTCATGCGAGCTCAGCCCCACAAGTAGGGTGGGCACTCCCCCTGCTGGCTCAGCAGCTATGCCTTGCATCTCGGTACTGACCGGAGAAGAGATCGCCGTTAAACACCTTGTTTAAAAATGTCTATAAAACCTTTTTAATACGTTGCTGTAGTAGGTATGTAGTATATGGGGTTTCTTACATGATCCACTTCCCATAAAGAAAGGAAAGGAGCAAAGCTGTATATGCTGTGTCCTTTTTTAGAAAGACTAGTAGAAATTCTGCAAGACGTAACTTTCATTGTCCCCACACCTAAAAACTTACTTTACCCTTGATCAAGGTAGTGTTCCTCTGATTTTGGGGTTTTTTTTTACTAGTAGAAGAAATGAATACTCTCTAGCAAGAGCATCTGCACAATCCCAAACTCCTGCACTCACTTCAGCCATGAGGCATGTGTGGTATTTTGAGAGGAGGAAAGCAAGTAACAGCGAAGTTTCTTATTCTGGAAAGGTAACTTAGTGGTCATGGCTCTTCTCTGCTTGTTCAGCACAGAGTAGTTTAGATTGGCCCTTTGGGTCCCACTTGTAGAATTGAACAGAAGCCCACTCTCTGCTGTTGGATTAGGTCTTTTAGATCAGTGAGTCAAACTGACTTGTCCTATGACCACGTGATTGCTAAGTACTGGTATAGGGGAGCAAAAATGCGTGGTCAAGATAGGAAAAGTTATAGCAGCATTCTCAATTTACTCCTAAATACGCAGTCGCACCAGATAAAGCGTGGCAGGAAACCAGGTGCTGTGTGGCCACTGCCTATACTAGCAGAGCCAGGCATGGTGGCATGTACGTGTGGTTGGTGAGGCGCACATGCTGCCAAGAAGCAGAGCCATCCTGCTAAAGTGCTTCTCCCTGCCTCTTCTCCATCCACACTGACTGGAACAGTAATTTTCTGGTTTAATATCTGTTGCCAGCAAAATGACCACTCTGGTAAGAGTTTATTGTATGGAACTACAACTACTCTAGCTACAGTGAGACTAATCCCCTAAAAGAGAGGTTTGTTTTTCTGTAGTTCTTTTATAAGTGTCAGTGGCAAGATTAAAAATGCACTTTATATAGTTACTGTACTTCTAATGCTGCTTTTTCTGAGGTATTTGGATTGAGGGAGATGAGCTCACTTTCCACGGTTAGCCTTCCCCAAGAAGCTTGGCAGCCTTCTCTCTTGAGGTATTCCTAGTACAGGACAAGTAAGAGCTGCCCCTAAGCTATTTGTATCCCAAGAGGCTGCATAAATGCACTTTATTGCACTGAGAGCAAGTTTTCTACAGATTATAAAACATTATTTTAAGAAGGAAACTTGGTGGTGGTGGTAAATCATTCTAGCAAAAAATGCTGAGTGTATTAAGCCCTCATGTGAAGCATGTTAGTGAATAATTTTGGGTACCAAAGCTGAGGCCAAGGATTAAGCTGAGACCTAAGATTAGTAACCTCTTTTGGAAATCTATTGGAGGAAGCATCTCTGACTCTTTTTTTTTTTTTACCAGTCTGGTAAAACCTGCATGCCTTAACTTTAAATGAAATAGCCTATTTGTACATCTGTTATCTAGTCAGTGTATAACCAAGGAATCTTCAGCCAGTGAGTTGTCCCTCGTTAAAATACATTGCTGGTATTGTTCTGCAGCCAAGCAGGTATTCAGACACAAGAACATGTATTTTTGCAACAATAAAGCAATTACATGTTTTGTTAGTTTTACAAGGCAGGTGTCTTTGCCAGCTGGTCTAAAGTGATTTTTCACGAGTATATATAAACACAGGCTTATATAAAATATTCGCAAATGAGCCATTTTTGCTTGAGCTTAAGTCCCCCAAGCAGGGACTGGCAGCAACCTTCTGTGTCATTTGAAGTGACATTATAAAGCATCGTTGTAAAGCACTAGCTTGGCATGACTGCCAGTATTTGCAAGAAAATATTAAAATAATTGGACCCTAAAAATCCCTGGAGATAGATGTCTAGTATTATCCAGTCACATGAAAAGAGTTTTGGCAGGCAGGGGAATGACAAGAGCCCATGTGCATTACCTGATGCTGACTCCTAGCTTCAGCTTTGTGTGATAACAGCCTACCTTCTGAAATTGGTCTCGATTCTGGTTAGAGAAGCCTAAGCCTCTGCTCTTTCTTGAGAGTCTGAGTAACCTCTGTCCTCCCTGGAGTCTAAATAAGATGTACCTTCGGATGATCTGTCAAGTACCTTGCAACTAGAAAATAGAATAGCATTTGAGGAAGCAAATTGTTATTAGTAAGCAAGTGACTCTTCCTTTCAAATGGCACTCTGATGCAGCAGATCTGCAGAGTAAGAATGTATGACTTTTGGCTGGAGGATGGGAGAGAATAATAATCCTGAATTGGGATAAATAATTACTTTTCCTCATTTCTGCTTCTCTACATCACAGCTTTTAGAGGCTTGTTCTGCAGTTCTGTGTCAACATGCTGCAACAACTGCACAACCAGTTTTTATGTAGAAGAGCGACATTAGGAAATGTTTCTGTGTTACTGGTTGCCTTTCCTGATGTAAGTGTGCTTTTTCTCTCCCTCCCTGTGCCCCCCAAGGTGGAAAAGATTCGTCAAGTCAAGGCTAAGTCACTCTACTTGCAAGTTGAAAAGTTACGTCAGAACCTAAATAAGCTGGACAACACCATTAGTGCTGTTCAGCAGGTCCTGGAGGAGGGTCGTACCATGGATATTCTTCTGGCTCGGGACCGCATGCTGGCTCAGGTGCAGGAGCTGAAGAATGTGAGAGGCCTTCTCCAGCCACAGGAAGATGACAGGATCATGTTCACTCCCCCTGACCAGGCACTGTATATGGCCATTAAATCAATGGGCTTTGTCAGCAGTGGGGCTTTTGCTCCTCTGACCAAAGCCACTGGGGAAGGCCTCAAGCGTGCGCTGCAGGGCAAAGTGGCCTCTTTCACAGTGATAGGCTATGACCACGATGGTGAGCCTCGCCTTTCAGGAGGTGACATGATCTCTGCAGTGGTGATGGGCCCGGATGGAAACCTTTTTGGGGCAGACGTCAGCGATCAGCAGAATGGGACCTACCTCGTCAGCTATCGTCCACAGCTAGAGGGAGAGCACCTGGTATCTGTGATGATGTGCAACCAACACATTGAGAACAGCCCCTTCAAAGTTGTGGTGAAATCTGGGCGCAGCTACATAGGCATAGGGCTGCCGGGGCTCTCCTTTGGCAGTGAGGGAGACAGCGATGGCAAACTCTGCCGCCCCTGGGGGGTTAGCGTAGACAAAGAAGGCTACATCATTGTTGCTGACCGCAGTAATAACCGCATCCAGGTGTTCAAACCATGCGGGACCTTCCATCACAAGTTTGGCACACTGGGCTCCCGGCCGGGCCAGTTCGATCGCCCTGCCGGCGTGGCCTGTGACATCTCACGTAGGATCGTTGTGGCTGACAAGGACAATCATCGCATCCAGATCTTCACGTTTGAGGGGCAGTTCATTCTGAAGTTTGGGGAGAAAGGAACAAAGAACGGGCAATTCAACTACCCATGGGATGTGGCTGTCAACACAGAGGGCAAGATCCTGGTCTCTGACACAAGGAACCATCGCGTTCAGCTGTTTGGGCCCGACGGCGTGTTTCTTAACAAGTATGGCTTCGAAGGGGCACTCTGGAAGCACTTTGATTCCCCCAGAGGTGTGACTTTCAATCATGAGGGCCACTTGGTAGTGACAGACTTCAACAACCATCGCCTTCTGGTCATCCATCCAGATTGCCAGTCAGCACGTTTTCTGGGCTCGGAGGGCACCGGGAACGGCCAGTTCCTGCGCCCACAGGGAGTGGCGGTGGATCAAGAGGGGCGCATCATCGTGGCCGATTCCAGGAACCACCGGGTGCAGATATTCGAGTCAAATGGTAGCTTTTTATGCAAGTTTGGCACTCAGGGAAGCGGCTTTGGTCAGATGGACCGTCCTTCAGGTATAGCCGTCACCCCTGATGGCATGATTGTTGTGGTCGACTTCGGAAACAATCGAATTCTCGTCTTCTAATCTGTGTTTGAATTAGGAAGAAACTGTCTCAGGGAAATTCTTCTAAGAGAAAATGAAAAAATACAACGTTAATTCAAACCTACCTCATCTTTAATTTTTTTACAGATGAATGTACTTATCTTTTCTGCAGGGAGTGAGCCTGTAAAGTTAAATTCTATCTACCTCATTGTCCTCCCTTCCCTCCCCGGTTTCTCGCCCCCTCCCCATCCCCACACACTCACAGTTTGGAACATTTTACCTCTCCCCCGATGGGGTTTCATGCACAAACAAGTGTTGCTGTGCACATTAGGTGGTTTGTGTGGCGAGTTCTGTAGACTAAGCCAAAAAAGGCTCTGTGTAACTTTTTTAATGGAGAAAATGGTAGTAGGCGTTTGTAGAGAATTTGTGTTCTTGACCATACTGCAGTTCTGTGGGTGGGGACATGGGAGGGGGGACTTTTGTTTTTTTTTGAATTGCTGCTGCAGCAGAGAACTTTTTCCTGTTCTCCTTTTTATACCTCAGTGTGTTTGATTTACTGGTGAGCACAGCGTCTCGTTCCCAGATGACTTTGAACGTTTTGCGAAAGTGAGTGGGATTCACTCGCCGGGAAGAGCAAGTTTGCATCTTTTTGGCATTTCTGTGTATTTTTTTCTGAAACACAGTAATCCAACAGCACAAAGTGAAGCTGATGAAAATGCACAAAAATTCTTTAAGTTTAAACCAAATTGTTCATTTTAGTGGCTTAGTGCGGTCATTGTAAAGTTTAGATAAAAAGCAAGGCTTCCTTTAATGTATCCTGTCATTGAGTATTTCTTTTTACCCTTTCACCTGAAAGCTAAATTAGTTTTAAAAAAAGTTACTGTTTCTTTTATCAGTGCGCCTAATCTGGATAACAGAAGAGGTTACAATGAGCATTGAAACAGGGAAAATCAAACCCTTTTGATTTACTTTCGTGTGAAATGACTAGTTTTTTTTTCCCCTCCCCATAGAGAGACTTTAAGGGAGTAACGTTTGATGGATTTGTTAGAACAGAAGTGGTACCTTTTTCCAAAAGTAAGAAATAAGCACAGCTTTGGAGATTCAGGGTGCGTTTTGGAGAAGTCAACAGGTTTTTTGTGTTTAAAGAGGATTGCAATAACTCTCAGTGACAAAAATATTTTTTTCATCTTCTGGCTTCCCCAAAGAGCTGGACTGAAAAATTTGGGAAGGTTTACTGTAGTTTTTAGGGTGGGGTGGGCCTGTGGCTCCGTGTATCTCTTGCTACAGATCCAAGTGAAAAGTTACCAGTACCAGCATAAGGCAAACTGCATCAAGATGAAACTTTGCTGCTTTTTTCCAGGGCAGTACCAAAGAATTCTGTGTAAAATAAATGTATATGATCCTTAAAAGCTTGGAGGCAGGGGGAAGTTAGCCCTTTCAGGGATATTAAAAAAAAAAAAAAAAAAAAAGCTTTTCTGAGAGGTGGAAACTTTTTGGGAGAATAGAGAGATCTCTAACAAAATGTGACTTTGAGTCCCTGGAAGCATTTGGTTTTATTCTTCAATTTCTTGCATTCCAGTTTAGCTGTTAATGCAGATATGGTCTCTACAGAGCTGTTGCTTCACCCTCTGGATAAGGCCTTTGGTGGCAAACAAGAATGGTTAAAGTAGGGAACCAGAGGGCTTTTCTGTCTCTCCGCGATGGAAAAATTCATGTATCGGTACTCTTAGGCTTGGAGATGCCATGGGATTTACCTTACTGTTTGCAAGAGGAGATCTCTGAAACATAAACATGGTCGTTATCAAAAAGTCTGAAGAGCCTTAACCATCCTCCAAGGAAAGGGTTCATCTCTCTGCCAGCCACCATGCACAAAAGTGACCTGAGATTGAGAGGCTCTCTACAAGTTTGTGAGAAATCACAAGGTGCACTTTCCTTCTTGCTGCTCTTCCCCTCCAAGGAATGTTAACTTTCTGGGTTTTGTAGAAATCCTGATGATGTGTGCAGACAGATAGCTGCCACTTAGAGGAGGCTTAAACTAAAGGACCAGAAAGAGACAGACAGATTCATGAGATGGCAAAACCTCTTTTGAAAGAAGGGTGAGGAAAAACACCTAAATTAAGATAAAATAACTGTGCTGCCTTTCAGCCAAAGCCTCAAGGAAGCAAACTCTTCAAAGCAGTGTGTTTCAGTTAGGCTTAATCTTAGGATAGCATGGTTTAAAAATAGTCGTGAAAGGATAATCTTTTATACAGATGTCTGTCACTAAATTTGTGTGGTCACTCAAAATATGGGTATGAGAGAAAGCTAGTTTACCTTCTGCTTTTTCAAGTTCTGCTTGTGTACGTGTCTCCCTTCTTGGGGGTGGCCTTACAGTTGTGACAGATGTCCATGTTTGTCTTGTATTATTCAGTCCAAGAATTATTTGCAACTTGGGCTGTGAAAACTAATAGTCTGCAAGATATAGATACCAAAGAAAACTGGTTTTAAAAGCTTTAATGTTTAGTTTGCAGTGTCCTTGCATTTATCCTATCATGTCTTAAAAATGCCAGGTCTCTTAATATCTTGACCGGAGTGGCTGATGGTGTTGGAGTATGCTAGAAATGCTCTCGTGCTTTAATGCTTGTTGGGTCCTCCCCTTCTCTAGGACTAGAAGGGAGTTGTTTTCCAGGCATTAAAAAAAAGTTAAGTGTGCATTCAGGATTGTTTTGAACTGCAGAAACCTTTTTGCCCCTCTCCAGCCTGCACCGTGTAGAAGGTGACGGAGACTGAAGTTGCCCTTTGCTATTGTGTATGGAGCCATTGCACAAACCCCCAGTCCAGCTCTGTCAGGAAGAGGAACGACTTTAACTCTTTCTAAGTTGCCGTCTAATTCAGTGGGATTTGCTTACAAACCAAACCTCAAGTGTTTGACCTCACGTGTTGGGGAGCTTTTTCGTTTCAAAAACACTACTATTTAGCTAACCAAAATAATTCCGTATCTTTGTCATAGATAGTGCTAAGCACACTTGGTCTCATTGAAAAGTGGTAGTGTAGCTTATAAAATGGAGCGTTTTATATGCAATGAAAATAAGTAGCGATAATATACAATGCCAACATCAGATGCCCCATAGGGGCTTTTAAAAAGTAATACTTAAACGAGATTCAAACTTCGCTCTGTTTTCCCATGCATGTTCTCAGGTTAATGCCCCAGTATCATAATACACATTGGTGCAGAGAGAAAAAGCAAGGCTTTGAAGCTGGATTGCAAACTGAACAAGCATTCAGAGTAATCTTCTGAACTAGTGGAAATGGCCTGGAGAAGGGTGAGGTGAGCTTGTGCCTCTTTCTCTTAGCTCTGACATTGGGGAACAACAGATGTGGGTGACAGGCCTGTCCACTAGAACTCCCAAAGGAATTTCACTGTGCCAGGTTAAACCAGTGGCTCTCGGTAAACTTTTTGCTTGACAAAATGTTACCAGCAGTCAGTATGGCTGTTTTGGGTTCGGCCTATGAAGCAATCTTGTCCTTTCTCAGAACTATTTAAGCAGGAACTTCAGTAGCAAACTGAAGCAGACTCAGTACTTGATAACGCAGGTCCTTCAGATAATTCACTCCTTTTTATTTAGTACCTTTTAAATGTAACTTATTTAAGGAAGCCCATGAACCTTAAACTTGTAAAGAAAGCAAGGGAAGGATGACAACACCTGAAAACTAATGCATGTTGGGACCAGATGTAACCACGTTGGGAGAAAGAAGAACAAGGCATTTGGATGTGGCATTCCTTTGGAATTGCAGGAAAATGGGCCCAGTCTGTTATGTTACAGTTGAACCAAAATTAATTTCTGAAGAGAGCAGGCTTATAGGCTTATCTTGCCATAACTTTGATCTTAAGATTTCTTTGTTCAGTTCTGGTTTAAAAAAAAAAAAATTGTGCCAAAGTGTTTTGTTTGTTTTTTTTAAAAGGAGTGTAAGCCAAATGGTGCCAAAAGGTAATAGGGTATTTAAAAGTAGAGATATTTAGACAAACAGTTAGGAGCTGTATAAAAAATGAACACTGGTACTTGCGTTAGACAAATATTGTACCTTTGGTCTTTGAGTCCTTGGGAGTTTGAAACTGAGTTTGCTGTGGTACAAACTGGAGATGCCACTAGCTTTTTCTTGAAGTTCTACCTCACTTTGCAGAAGTAAATCATCTACCTCAATTTAGCATCAGACAGGTTTGAGAAATAATTGAGAATCTGCCTGGGGGAAGGATTCATCCTGCCTGTTGGACAAGCATTTTAATTGAAACAGAGATACTAAGTGTGTACAATGTGGTGAGTGCTTGCTTTTGTTTGCTTTTGGTTTTGCTGCCTGCCCATGGAAATACTAAGCTGCCCTTGCTAGAGAATCTGTAAATAAAACCAAATGTTCAGGCAAACTGGACTGAGATACCTGAAACACTTTTGAGATTGTTCCGTTTTCACTACGAAGTATGGAAATGTAAACTTTTTTCAGTATTATGACACTACTAGCTGACATGACATACTTCATGTTCATTTGCAGTGTTCTTATGTCCGTAAGACCTTTAGGTCTTCTCTCTACAAGAGAAAAACTTTTATGCATGCCTACAAATATGTCCTGGTTGGAAAGACTGATTGTTATGATTGCTGTAAACACAATGCTATACCAAATGCTTGAAGGGAATAAGATCCTGATTTTTTTTGACTTGGTGATTGTATTAGTAGCTTTCTTGACTCAATGGGATTTTTTCCACCATGACAAAGCAACCAAGTTCCTATTCCTGGAGGGCAGTTTAGGTTCAGACATTCTCAGGAGAGGCAGTTTAAAACCAGTATGTTGGGGTTTTATGCAACTTTAATGGTGACATGCAACATGCCCCTTGTTTTACCTGTGGAGTAAAGTTGCAGAAGCACATTTTCAGATTACTATATTGAAAAAAATCTTTTTTCCTCCCCTGCTCATATTAGGGGGTGACAGAAGTGGGTACAGGAGACCCCTAATAACAATAGGCTGTGTTGGGTTTGGTAAATGTTATGGTGGAAAACGTACATTGATGTCTCTAAGTGATCTTACGGGTTAACGAGCCAGACTGGCATCTTTTTCCATCATTGTT